TCGACATAGCCTTTATCACTGCTTAGAATATTATGAAATATGTTGCGCGTCTTATTCTGTGTAAGAAGCCACATCATCTCACAGAAGGATTTATTTCAAACACTCGACTGACGTTATGAAGTGAGTTTGGAGTAAAAACATCTTATTAAATGTGGTGCTTTCAGATGGAGCAGCATTTACTACACAGAGCCGTATTTCACTGACAAGCTACGCAAACAACTGTCAGTATCGCAGAACAATTTCATAATCGTGCTATAATATCATCTGTGATCATGATCGTGGTTTTGTGTAGCTTGTCAGTGAACTCCGGCTCTGTGTAGTAAATGCTGCTCCATCTGAAAGCACGTGATGGAGATTTACTACTAATCACAGAACCGGCTTTACTGACGAGATGCACTTGACTATCACATGTGATTATTTGTGCAGCCATACTAATGAACACAATGGGTTTCCAGCATGTGAATGTGTCCCTGACCTCCAAAAGGGCTTTGTCGTTCTGCAGTTTCTCGATGGCGTCTGTGTATTTGTGGTTGAGAGCATTGACGACGGCCTGATGCTGCTCAGACTCTTTCTCCAGCTGATCTAGCCGTGCTTTCAGCTGAGCCTCCTGACGACGGTACTGCTCATCCGCTTCATAAAACTACAGACAGAAGAACACAACATTAGCAACAGCTGAGCTCTCACCGGTGAGCTCTGAAGCTCCCCATTCGGATTACGTGTTTTTACACGTGCTAACACAACATGACTATCTGCATGATTGTTCTTAGTTATATTGTGTATATGGAGAAATAGAGAGGACCCAGCACCGAACCCTGAGGTTCCCCGCTGCTTAACTTATGTGATTTATCTCCCTTTTGTCCAGCAGGGTGCAGGTGCCTAACACCGTGTCCTAACTACACGCGACAAATAGTTTGTGTGTCCACACCAGACACGATGCGACAGAATCAATCAAATATCACAGCCAATCAGAAGCGTATGTGAGGGCGGAGCCTCTCTGGAAGCGCACTGCACTCACAACAAAATGGATACGTTTATGATGTAATTCATAAATATTAAACCTTTTTAACATTATTAAATGTACATACTGAGTGACTGATAACATCTTTGTCATGGAATACACTCGTTGGTCCGCACTGAGTTCACAGTTTAATGTACATATTTGTTTTAATTTATTTTCAAGACCTATTGTTGCTTTCAGTATGGCTAAAAGGTCATGCAAAATGACATTCAAACACACATTAGGCATGTTTAACTTTGAATAAAGCACATGATCACCTGAGATTATCTACTGTCATATAGTTTGTATGCTGTTGTTCCAGCCGCAGCGTTGTGGAAATAGAAACCGTTTCTAAAATAGAAATTTCGCGTGTCGCGTCACGGCTAGTTAGGACAAAAACTCTGATTAACATGGAAAAGATACCTTTTATGTGTGAGACCGTGTGTGTGTGAGACCGTGTGTGTGTGTGTGAGAGAGTGTGAGTATGTCACAGTGTAATCTGGAGCTATTCTGCACATTCTGACCTAAGAAAAGGCAATAAAATTGACCCCTTAACCTTGGTGGTCTAAAATTAAATGAATCAAATTGAATCTGACATGAAGCAAAAAAATGTTTTTTCATTTTTATTAGTTAGTTTGTATACGGGTCAGATCAGATGCACAATTCTGCCTGTTCTAAATCAGACAGAGCGATAACGCAAGAGTGAGAGATTGTGTGTGTGAAGTGAATTACTTTAAAAACAGTGACATTCCCACCTCACTGCTAAGAAATATCATGTAGTTTTTCTGTAATTAAGCTGTTTTATTGATAAAAGTCGAGGGACAGCGTTGACAATGAGTTTCTGTGTTTGAGAATGTTTCTGTGTGTGCATGTCTGTGTGATATGTATTTTGTACAATGATATCTGAACTGTTGTTTTAATGCTGTCTGAGATGACATTACCGAGTATATCATAACACGTCATGAGAGTCCATGCATTCCCTGTGTGATGAAGCTCATCAGAATTCAAACTGTTCAAACACAGCCGGATGTACAGAATCAACCTGCGTCACACACACACACCTGGATGTGAAGCCGCTCGTTCTCCTGGATCTTCTTCTGCAGGTCTTCATCAAACACACTCTGTGTCTGCAGGCTGACCTGAGATGGAGAGTCACCTTTATTCTGCACAAACACACACAAACCAACAATAATGACTGCTGATGCATGTTAAACGTCCTCCCGCTCTCACGTGTCAGAGTAAGAGAGCATCTCATTTGGTCCCTGTGATTTCTGAAACTAATCCTAATCCTGTGGCTGGACAGTGAATAATGGAGAAAGAGCTCATGATCGGCTCATTTATGCCTCATCAACTCTGACAGAGCTCTGTGTGTGTGTATGCGAGTGTGTGTCTGAGTGTGTGTCTGTGTGTGTCTGAGTGAGTGTCTGAGTGAGTGAGTGAGTGAGTGAGTGTGTGTCTGAGTGAGTGTGTGTCTGAGTGAGTGTGTGTCTGAGTGAGTGAGTG